AAACATACAATGAAGCATATGATATCCTCGAAAGAATCTCTACCAATGATTGTCAATATCCTAATACGCACAATACGTTTGGTCAACATGGTGTTGCAGCAGTAGATTTGAAAGCTTTCATCTCTATGGCTTCTCAGATTCAGCATTGACTGAAATGGTGAAGAAATTTCAAAAACCTGGAGGAATGTATAAAGTCAAAGTCTCATCTCTTATCACTTGTGTATATTGTGGTGATGATCACAATTTTGATGAATGCTACCAAAATATGGAGTCTATAAACTATATGCTAAATTATCCAATGAATGATAATACTTTTGGCAATATATACAATCCAAATTTCAGAAATCATCCCAATCTTTCTTGGAGAAGTCAGAATGTTACCAATCCACAACATCAGTAATTAAGCCACGACACTACTCAACATAATCAAAATCCACAGCCGTGTGCATAACTATCTGTTGCTCATCCACTATAAAGGCAAAATTACCAAGGTCAATCTTCAAACCAAAATCCAACCTTAAAACCTTTTGAATCCATTATGAAAGAATATATGTCGAGCTAATATGCTTCATTAAGGGCTATAGAGAAACATATGGGGGAAATGGCTAATTTTTTAAATATTCGATTGCTAGTATCGCTTCATAACGACACTAAAAATTCCAAGCAAAATGGTAAGGGGAATTGCAAGGCCATTACCACAAGAAGTGGAATTCATATTGGGGAACCAGTTAAAGAACTAAGGAGGAATAATGATGAACTTTATCAGCATAGTAAAGGGAAGAGAAAAGAATTGAGCCTGAACCGCATGAGAGTCAATTCAGAGCAATAGATATAGGGCAGAGTAGTAATTCAGAATCGTTGCCGAAAGCAACCCCTGTTGCATCTAATACAGAGTTGACTCTATTGTCTTAACACCAACAACCAAAAATGCCTCCACCATTTCCACAACGCTTTAAGAATACAAAGGAATATCAGGAATATAAAACTTCTATTAATTTCATTCGCCAACTCACAATTAATATTCCATTGATTGATGCTTTATAGCAAAACCCAAATTATATCAAATTCATGAAGGAAGTTCTTTCGAATAAATGAAGACTTTGTGAGTTTGAGATAGTCGCTCTTACTAAAGGCTATAGTGTTATGGCTACAAGTCAGTTGTCACCAAAGCTTAAGGATCCAGGGAGTTTCACTATTCCTTGTAACAATGGTGACACATTTGTAGATAAATCTTTATGTGATTTGGGTGCCAGCGTAAATCTAATGCCATTGTCTATTTTTAGGAAATTTGGAAGCAGCGAAGCAAGGCCTACTATGGTTATTTTGCAACTTGTTGATCGCTCCACCGTGCATCCTAGTGGTATTGTGGAAAAATACTTATGCAAGTGGAAAAGTTTATCTTTCCTACGAATTTTATCATTTTGGATTATGAAGTGGATAAAGATATTCAAATTATTCTCGGTTGCCCGTTCCTTGCTACAAGTCGAGCTTTAATTGATTTTGAAAAGAGAGAATTGAATATGCATTTGAATGATAAACATTACTTTTAATGTTTTTATTAATATTTCTTACACAATGCTACTTGTTTTTAACTTTATGTGATTTATATTTTTTGCACATGAGCACTTGGAGGAATTCTATAGCGCAGATAAAACTTTATGTGATTTAGAAGCATTTGAAGAATTCTTGATGGATAAAGAAGTCGAATGTTGTAGTAAGTATCTCCAGAGCATAGAACATTTGAAAATACATTATTATATCATTAAAGCAGCAAAGACATCTATTGAAGAACCACCGAATCTTGAATTGAAAAATTTGCTAGAATATTTGAAATATGCTTATCTTGGAGTAAATGAGACACTCCCAGTCATTGTGGTGCACAGCTTATAGAATCACAAAAACCCAGTTGATTGATGTACTGAAGCATCATAAAAGAGCTATTTCATGGAGCATTGTTGATATAAAAGGCATTAGCCCATCATTTTGCATGCAAAAATTCTTTTGGAGGATCCCAATAGTAGCTTGATTGAACATTAGTGAAGATTAAATTTAATCATGAAAAAAGTGGTTCGAAATGAGATTATCAAATGGTTGGATGTTAGGATCGTATACCCGATTTGGATAGCAAATGGGTTAGTCCTGTGCAATGCGTTCCAAATAAAAACAACACTACTATGGTGATAAATGATAAAAAATAATTAGTGTCGACAAGACCAATACTGGTTGGAGGATATGTATGGACTATAGGAAGTTGAACAAAGAAATGAGGGAAGACCACTTCTCATTACCCTTCATAGATCAAATGTTAGAGCAACTTATGGGCAATGTTTTTTATTGCTTTTTGGATGGATATAATGGTTACAACCAAATTTATATAGCTCTAGAGGACCAATAGAAAACAACTTTTACATGTCTGTATGGTACCTTTACTTTTCGAAGAATGCTATTTGGCTTGTGTAATGCTCCAGCGACATTCCAGCGTTGTATGATAGTCATTTTCTACGATATGATTGGGGTTATCTTGAAGTTTTTATGGATGATTTTTCAGTGTTTGGGCAGGATTTTGACAAGTGTTTGAGCAATTTGGCTGAAGTTTTGAGAAGATGCGAGAATACCAACTTAGTTTTGAATTGGGAAAAATGTTATTTTATGGTCACGGAGGGCATCGTGCTAAAGCACCGAATTTCAAGTGTTGGAATTGAAGTGGATAAAGAAAAAGTAGAGGTTATTGAAAAATTACTACCACCTACTAATGTGAAGGCAGTTCGAAGATTTCTTGGTCATGCTAGTTTTATAGAAAATTTATTAAAGATTTCTCTCGAATTGCTAAGCCATTGTGCTCATTGCTGGAGCAAAATAGGGAGTTCGTTGTTGATGACAAACTATTATTACATCACCAGACTGGAGTTTTACCTTTGAATTAATGTGTGATGCTAGTGATTTCGGGGTAGGAGCAGTGCTGGAGCAACAGAATGATAAAATGTTTGACACAATACATTTTGCGAGTAGGACATTAAATGAAGTCGAAGTAAATTACACCACAACTAAAAAGGAGTTACTTGCTGTGGTATTAGCTTTTAACAAATTTCATTCATATTTAGTGGGAACGAAAGTGATTGTCTATATTGACCACTCAGCGCTGAAGTAGTTATTTCCTAAGAATGATACAAAATCTCGTCTGAACCGATGGGAGCTTTTACTCCAGGAATTTGATATTGAGATTCGGGATAAGAAGGGATCTAAAAATCAAGTAGTTGATCACTTATCTATGTTAAAATCAGGCAGCGAAGATGGCAACGTTCCAGTAATTCCAAAAGAATTCCCTGATGGACGTCTGTTAGCTACTACAACATTAGCATGGTATGTTGATTTTGCTAACTATGTAGTTAGTGGAATGATGCCACCAGACCTTAATTATCAAAGATGAAGGAAATTTATGTGGAATGTAAAGCAATACCATTGGGAGGAGCCATATTTATTTAAGCAATGTAATGCAAACTCATCTGGCGATGTATCCCTCAGTGTGAGCAGCAAAGCATTCTGCAACATTTTTATAGTGCGCCATATGGCGGACATTTTGGAGGTATGTACACAACAACAAAATTGCTTCAATGTAGAATTATTGTCCATCACTTTTTAAAGATGCTAATGACTTTGTAAAGCATTGTGATTGCTGCCAGCAGACTAGGAATATTTCTCGACGAAATGAAATACTAATGCAACCTATTTTGGAGATCGAGCTATTTGATGTATATGTATTAGATTTTATGGGTCCATACCCTTCTTCATGTGTCAATCTTTTTATTCTAGTTGTTGTAGATTATGTATCCAAATAGGTGGAAGTTGTAACCTTACCAAACAGTAATGCTAAAGCAGTGTTGCAATTTTTGCACAAAAACATTTTTACTCCCTTTGGAACCCCTCAAACTTTTATCAGTGTTGAAGGATCTCAATTTATTGGTAATCATGTTGTTGGAGAATTGAATAGATATGGAATGAAGCATAATATTTATACAGCATATCATCCATATTCTAATGGTCATGCTGAGGTGTATAACTGAGAAATCAAGAAAATTTTTGAGAATGTAGTGAACCCTTATAGAAAGGATTGGTCCCAGTGCCTTGAAGAAGAATTATGGGCTTATAGGACCGCCAACAAGACTCCGCTATGGATTTCACCTTATCATATTGTTTATGGAAAAGCTTGTCATTTACCTATGGAATTGAAGCACAAAGCTATGTGGGCATTAAAAAGGCTGAATTTTGATCTATATGCTACAGATGAGAAATAGATGCTGGAGTTTAATGAGTTGGAGGAACTCTGAAATAATTCCTATGAGAGTTCACGCATTTATAAAAACAAAATTAAGAAATTGCATGATCAGAATATTTTGCTAAGGGAATTTGTTACTGGACAACAAGTGTTATTTAATTCGAAACTAAAATTATTCCTGGGAAATTGCATTCTCGTTGGTCAGGCCCCTTTGAAGTTCTTGAAGTTTTCCCTAATGGTGCATTACTACTGAAGAACTTTGGTGGATAGAAGCACATTTAAAGTCAATGAGCAATGTTTAAAGCATTGTTGCTAGCAACAAATCCTTAGCATTGCTTCGATCACACTAAGCAATCCTCTTTTTTTAATATTTTGTTCTTTTAAATAAGTCAATTCCTTTGATATTTATTTTTTAAGTCCTTATTTTTTCTTTTTGTACAGGTCTTTTTCTTTTGATCACTCTCAATCAGCTCTTTCATGTTGCACAACTCTTCATATCATGGTGTGTGTTCATCATTGTATAGAAGCTACAGCAATATAAGGATACCTAAATACTTTAATTGTAAAACTAGGTGTGAGCTATCTACCATTTACTTGTCTTCATTTTTTTTTCACCGTCCATTTAACCCAATCATAACCACCCATTTAAATCCATCCTTATCCATCAACCCTAGAATTATAAATTTAAAAAAAAAATCACTTCTTTCATGCAAGCCATTTACTCTCGTATATTCCACTTTCATCTTCTTCACAAACCTAAAACCTTTGGTAACCTCTCTTTCATTTTTCTTCATCGATCTACACACTGCCATGGTACATAAAAATAAATTGAGTTCAAAACCATCTGGTCGTACACCCACTCTGCCTCCTGCTATAGCTACGTCGGTGGTAATGTCCCCGTCAGAGGAAGTCACACGAGTCATGGATGATAAGAACAGACTGCGATTTGAGGAGGAATTTGAGTGCTGATATTTCTATTACGAGCAGGGTTTTGATTTGACTATAGAGGAGAAACCTTAAATTTTTCATTATATTTCTCAATTGATTACCCATCGAGGATAAGGGAAATTCTGTGAGTACCCCAGTGACATAAACCAGTAAGTAATTTGGGAATCTTACAGTAATCTCACCGGCCAGACAAAGCGTTTAGTCTTTGTTCGAATAAGATGTTCCATTGGTGGGTAAAACTGAAAAACTATTTACTAGGTATCATTGAGGAGCCCTGTGAACATACGAAATTTGTGGAAAACTTAACTGAGGAAGAATTGAAGCAAGTTGGGCGCGATCTTTTCCTAGCCAATCGTTCATGGACGAAATCAACTGTTGTCGTTCAAACCAAGAGGCGCTTAGATCTCCATCGAGATATAAGGTATGGTTTATTTTTATTAGAGTTGGGTTAATGTAAACCATGCATTCTTCCACTATTACTAAGGATCGAATCTTGCTAATTCATTCCATTTTATTTGGACGAAAAATTGATGTTGGTAAAATAGTTTCTGTTGAAATATTTGCTTGTGGTCAAAAGAATTCTGGTTATTTGTATTTTCCATTGTTAATCATTGCATTGTGCTTTTAAGAACAAATAGTTTTTTGTCTTTCGATAGTCTTATAAAGAATCGGAGCCCAATTACCTTTTCTATTGTGAGGCGAACATTGTTAAAGGAAGGACTAGATCCTAATGAAGCTAATGGGGAACCATATGCTCCCATTGCTATAGCACAACTCCCGCCTATTGATAACCGAACCTTGGAGGGCCTCAAAACGGCTATATCATCGATTCGTGTTAAGCTGGATTAGGCGATGGAGTTGCTTAACCATTCTCTTCAAAATTAGTCCCAGATGCACAACGCCCAGGTTCAGTATTGGGAGTATGCACAAAAAAGGGATTTTGCGACCAAGATGATGTTCGTGAAGCTATTCGCAGAGGCTGAAGTGCTATTTTCAATCTTCCTAGTGAAGATATTGGAAGATCTGATGCAACCAGCAATGTCTGATGCTAGCCATAGCTCAGCCAGTACTGAGACTCCTAATGCCACGCAGTTTTTTTGTCTGATTCTTTTCCTTTTCATTATCACCTTTTTCTTTTTCTTTATCGTTGATCTCCTCATCACCCTCCATTGAATTGGTATCAGTAGCCATAAGAAGATGAGTATGTGAACAGCGATCAGTTGTAAGTGATGGCTACAGATGGAGCTAATGCTCTAACAGAGCAAGTGGTGGCTCAGTTACTGAATTTAAATTCCACCACAGCTGAATGGGCAACCATTTTTGTTGACGAACCAAATTTAGATGCTTTAACGGTAATTCATAATGTTATCACTGTTGTTGAACAATCAGTTATTACGAGTCATCCAGAGAGCACTCCCATCGCACATACCACTGGAGCTGAGATATCCAAACCAAAAGCGCAGCAAAAGCTGGATGCTACAGAATCCACAACTCCAGTCTTTAAGGCTGCTTTGACAAAAACCTCAACAGCGTTGGCCAATCAAAAGAGGAAAAGCTCGGTGTAGGTAAAGACAACAATAGAGCATCTCTTCCCAAATGTTCTTAGCCTGCGAAAGCCCACTTAGGGGAGTCTTGGTTACCTTTCTCATATTTTAGTTTGTTTTATTTTCTTTGATTGTTTGTGTCACATGCATTAGGGATAATGTATCTGTTAGGTTTAGGGTTGTGTTGTTAGGTTTAGGGTTGTGTTGTTAGGTATAGATGTTGCATTTAGGAATAGTTTCACATTTAAAATTACGTTAGGTAATGCCATAGAATAATTTTAAAAAAATTAAAGAAGTTGTTAAGGGAATTTTGATGATGCTCGATTATGAATATTAATTGAAATGAATGCTATAGGAAATATTGAAGAAACTTTTAAAAATATGGTTCCTTAGAATTTTTTTAACACATAGGTGTATGTTTTTAATGCTTAGAGAATTTAAAAAATTTCAAGCTGTAAACCTCTTATTTTTATTGGATACTATAGCAATTGTTTAGAGAAAAAATGAATGAGTGATTTAGGAAATAAGTTGGGTAATACTGGTAATAGCTCCAACATAGTCTAAGGGAAAACGTTCGGTAATGCTGGTAATAGCTCCAACATAGTGAGAGAAATAAGTTGGAATTCCAACATTGGTGAGGAAATCTTGTTGTAGTATTGAATACCTTTAACAGAGTAGGTGCGAATTTTTCTAGCGTAACTAAGTATTGATTGGATACACCTATATTACACACACTGCACTCTGAAGATTCTGATTTTGAGAGGATGAAATGGCATTTTCTTATTTAAGATTACATATGTGCTTCACAACATTAGTTGAGGACTGAAAAAGAAACTTCTCTGCTTGGTTAATTTTTTTAGGTTATTCTGTGGCATTGCTGTTAGTTTAGATGTTTATACATGCTTTGCTTGAAGACAAGCAAACACTTAGGTTTGGGTGGGATAACTCTCCAAAAGAGTTTATCTTTAGTAGCCTTAATTACCTAGGTTTAGTTTGAACTTGAGCATATTTAGGATTAAATTTACTTAATTTTTTATATTTTGCATGATAGGAGCATCGTGGGTTGCTAAGGGCTAAAATTAATTTGTGCTGCTGAAAATTATTGCATTGATACTGTATCACTACAGGAAATGTTGATCGGGTGTTGCAGCAGTCGTCTAAGTTCCAAACAGTTGAGAGAACTTTCTGGATTAGGAAGGCTGGCTCGAGTAGCCGTCATGTGGTTGGATAACACCTAAAATGTGGATCTTTTCTATCGGGCAAAGAAATTTTCATCCAAACTATAAAAGAGGAGTACTTAAGTGTAAAAAGTGATGATTTTGAGAGATCCAAAGTACTATTTCCATGTTAAATCTTTTTTAGCCATGGAAGCCTAAATCATCTGCAGGGATTATTGCAGTACAAAGGAAGCTTGTTGTGGAGCTTCAGCAGTCAGCAGATCACCATTCAATGCCTTCTATTGAAGAGGGAGTGAAACGAATGTTTAAACTTTTGTTGGATGTTTATTATGAATTTCTTTATTTCGTGTTTACTTGGGTACTTGGTTTATGAGCTTTAAACTTCATGATTGTGAGTAGAAATATTTGCAACTAAATATATAGTATTTTCGTTTAAATTAAGAAATAGTTTCATTCAATTGCTATATATTTTGTGAGCATTGGTATTGCTGAGTAGCATAGGTGTACTGAAAAGTGTACAGCCAATTGATTAGTATTGTTAATAGTTTGAGCCTTTAATTAATGAAATTTGTTAAAATAGTTCAAATGGTCTTAATCAATGATGATCACATAGATTAAGTATACAATGTTTGCATAAAACTTGGGAGTCATAATATCATATCTTTTGATTCAATAGCTGACCAATTGCTTTCGAAAATGTTGTAGCATGAACTGGTATCTTTTATTATTGACTTCATTACTTTCTTTCTAGCATCTCGAATCTTTAATCTTGTTGTAGAAAAATCTAATGAAAACAGTATATTTCCTGTGGGTTCAACACCTGAAGCTTTTATAGATTCCACTTTATTACTTGAACGATATGTATACTTGCATTAAATACTATAGCATCTTATGTAGCATCACTTTTCTAAACGGTGGACTTTGTGAAGACATTTTTATGCAGTAACCCCCCGGTTTCAAAGAATTAGCTCCTGATGTATCCAAGCTTGTGTGCAAGTTGCAAAAGACTCTCTACAGGCTTCATCAGGCTCTATATAACTAGCATGCTACATTGAAGAAACACTTGCTGCAAATAGGGTTTCGTAAATCCAAGGTTGATAGCTCATTGTTTGTTACAAGCAAAAATGGTGTGCATACCAATGTTTTGGCATATGTAGACGATATAATTATGAGATGTCAATCTAAGCACTAAGAATGTTATATGTGCTTTGAGCAGCCATTTCTCGTTAAAAGATCTTGGTGATTTCACTTATTTTATAGGTATCAAGGTTAAAAGTTAAGATGGGATGCTTATCCTTAATTAAAAGTTCATAGTGGATCTTCTCCATAAGATAAAGATGGACTTGGAACCACCTATTGTTATTCCTATGATGGTGGCTACAAAGTTGAGTGAAGATGCTGGGAAGCAGTTAGAGGATGCTCGAGAGTATCACAACATATTTGGAGCCTTACTTTATACGATTCATACAAGGCCTAATGTTGCCTTTAGCATAAGCAAAGTTTCCAATACATGAATGCATCGTGTGAAGGCTATATGCTAGTGGTTAAATGAATACTCGATACCTTATGAGCACCCTTGACAATGGTTTATTTTCTCGTCGACAACATCAACGTTGAATATAGTTGCATTTGTTGATGTTGATTGTAATGTTGATCTTGACAATGGTTGCTCCATATCTGGTAACTGTGTTTATGGTAGCATTTTGTCTCGTGGGTAGGAAAGAAGCCAAAAACCACCTCGTGCTCTACGATAGAAGCTGAATGTAAGAGCATCACTGATGCTGCAACTGAAGTAACCTGGATGAGCATGTTCTTGGAGGAGCTGGGAGTGAATCAGACCAAGTTACTATCAATCTGGTGTGATAATACTGGAGCAATTGCTAAAAGTACAAATCTAGTGTATCACGCTCAGTCTAAGCATGTGGGTTTGGACATTCAATTTTTTCAGGGAGAAAGTTATTGTAAACAGACTGAAAGTCAGTTATGTGCCTACGTGCAATCAGCTTACTGATGGCTTAACAAAGCTACCTTTGTTGAGAGTACAAGTCTAAAGCTGCTTTGTTGCATTTCATGAGAAGGTTAATGTTCAATAGTTTGAACAAATAAAAAAAAGTAGGGAGAATATTGATACATTGTTAATGTTAGTTATGGGTATACGTAGGGGTGTGAAAAAAATATATGATCTATTTATTTGGTGATTCGATCCGATTTTTCATTTTGGAAGGAAATCTAAAAAAAAAAGATAATCGGATTGAAAAATTCTCAAATTTTGTATTATCCTAATATCCGAAAAAAATAGATAGGCTTTTAGACCTAGCCCAATAGCCCCATCTTTATGGGTTCAACATTGATATGGATAATGGATATATAGTTTAAGCTAGACCTAATGTTTGTTTTATCCGGTACGTCCTTCACCTTTCTTTTTTTTAAGCATATATTTCATTATCAATATAATTTATATCTTATATTTAATTTAAATAATTTATTTTATAGTGTATAGTTATAGTACAGTATATTATCTAATATTATATATGGTATGTTTTAAAATATAGTATAGTTTTAAAAATAAATATTATATATAGTATATATAAAATATATAGTATAATATTTTTTAATATATATAGTTTTGGAAATAGATATATAATATATATTATATAATACTTATATATAGTTTTGAAAATAATATATTATATATAATTTTGAAAGTAGACATAATATATATATAGTTTTGAAAATAAAAGTAGTATATATTTTATATAGTAGGTAATAAATATTTAGTGCTTTTAATATATAGTATAGTTTTTAAAGGAAATAAAAACACATTAGTTTATAATTATATAGTTGATATTATTATTATTATTATTAAATTTTTATTATTTCAGGTCTGGTTTACAAAGTCTAAGTTATGGTTTAGTTCAAAGAGCTACGGTTCAAGTTTAACAAACTCCAAAAGGGAAAGCCACGATCTAGATCCAACAAGTCCAAATATGAAAAGCTTAGCAGTAAGCCCGCCTAAACCAGTAGGACAAATTGCCAGACTACAATAGCATGACCCAAGGCAGAAGCCCAAGAGTGCAAGCCCGTGTACAAAACCCATATAGCAACTAAGGTTTTGTCTTTAGTCCTAGTGCCGCACAAATTCATTAGTTCAATCAAAGGAGAAAGCAGGGGCTCAATTACATGTGGCTAGGGTTTGTGAACCCAAGTAAAATCTTTTCCAACGTCGCATAACCAGAATTATTTAATCTGACCCAATCTAACGATATGGACCAAAGATCAGACTATGGTTTATACCCCAACCAAGCGCTGCCAACTTATAGTCGTAAGATCTGAACCCCATCATCGGTTTAGATTAAAATATAATTAGGGTTTTTTTAACCCTAAGGATGACAGATTCGCACAACTTCCTATCATTCGTTGGATCTGTTCCAATGGCCTAGATTCGTCATAATTAGGGTTTCACCCTAATCTGTCACCACCAGCAAGTCTCGACCATAAGATCAAAAAATTATCTAACGGTCAAAATGCACTTAGAAATTTTAACCATTGATTTAGGGTCTGTTTGTTTGGAGGAAAACATTTTACGGAAAAAATCATAGTTTTCTGTGTTTGGTTCAAGGAAAACTCATGGGTCAATAGAAATTATTTTACGATCAATGGAAAATGGCTCATTTTTTTTCATGTAAAATAACTTACCAACTGAAAAATGGTAAGTCATTTAATAACACAAGTTTTAGCCTTCAAAGCTTTGGACACCCAAAATTGTTCGATCAAATACCACCATATCTATCTCACTAGCAATGATTACTCAGACGATAGTTCATCTTCTTAGGTAACTATTGCGTGTGTGATGTATTATTCTATGGCACGTAAATATCTGCCAGTATACACAATTGAAAAAACAATATAGTAGTGAGTGAGTATCATCTCCACAGGGATTGGAGGGATTTCAAATAAAGTTTATGCACTATTCTAAATTATCTAAGTATAGTTAGTGTGGTATTAACAAGTGAGAAATAAAAGTTGTAGCAAAATGATATGTGCAAGGGGTATGAGTATGAAAATATTGTGGCAAAAGTTTAAGTGAAGTGCTGAGTTAAACAGTAAAAGAATATTGTAACAAAAGATATTGAACTTTGGGGAATGAAATAAGACTGACAACCTCACACAATCAGGCTTCTATAGGGGTAATTGGCTGGATTTGCTATGGAAATAAATATTCTATGTCTAGAATGATCTCTTCTCCTATGAGTTATTGTCTGACAGGATTTGCTAAAGGTGCTCTTAAACTATCTCTAGCAAGGAACCAGATAAAACTAATGCTACGGAAATACCTCTCAGCGTGAACTGCAATATTAGCTTATTGGCTAAGTCATATCCCTTTTAGTTGCTTGAAACACTCTCTTTATCTCTAAGGCGGGTTAGAACCTTACCATTTTGGTTTGGCTCCTTTGCTCACGTAGATCTAGCCTAGCTCTCTCGATACTAGGAAACTATGCTATTGCAAACAACAATCTCTCAAAAGCTCTTACATTGCTAAGTGTATAAAACAAAAATAATGAGCAAAACAACATTTAAACATAAAAGACATGTAACTATTCATTAACACAAAATAAAATCAACCAAAATAATTTTCATGGTGTGGGTAAGTGCATCCAAGATCAATCAAGTTAAGTACAAGCGCAAAACATTATAAAATGAAAGCATAAGGAGAAGAACAATCCCAATGAGTTGTTATCGTGACACTTAGCTCCACCACCATGTACCATCTTAGCAAGCTAGCCTCTCTTAAGGTTCTAGTCGTTGCCCCTTCGAAGCTCGGTTATAGAGGTCACCACAAAAAAGGATGAAAGGAATAAGAAAATGAAGGTTGTTGGGATGTTGCCTCCTTTCTTAAATCACTCTGCAAAAGCTCCCTATAAATGAGGTATGCTTATCTATTTATACTAAGGGAATCCCTAGGGTTTTGTGCCAAAATTCCCTTTGTACCATAGGTATCCCTTCATGTGAATGGGAGGCTAGGCTATTATATGGTCCCAAAAAGGGATATTGAGCATGACATTCACATGTTAATATGGACAGCAGACAACTCTAACAAAATATCTTCGTCCTTTTTGTCTTTTTCTACCCTGAAATACCATCCAGAAATGCTGTAGCAATATTTTTTCTTGATCAACATAATCAGTCCTTTGGATCTCCTAATCTATATTGCTACAACAAATTTTTTTCTCCTCGTCTACTTTCTTCACTTGCACAACACCACAAACAAAAGACATTTCCCTTCAGCATCATCAGTTTTAGCAATAAAAATGAGTTGCAACAAAACTCTTCCACCTCATGCAATTATATGACCTAAATGCAAC